AGGTCGTAAGACAAAAGAGAACACAATGCTAGAAGTGTACAAGGCTAATAGACTGCAGAGCATTCTTCCTGAAATAATTAAAAGTCATAAGGGTGTATGTTTTGATTCAATGAAAACAACTATTAATTATTGATTTTAATTAAATGAATTAATTATTTTGAATTTTAAATATTAATAAATATCATTCATTAAATATTAATTATTAACTGTTTTAAAAAATTAATCCAAACAACTCAGTAAAATTATACCATAGTGAGAATTTTATACAATAAAAAAAAATTAAAGATATCTTATCATTTTAATTGTTAAAGCTTCCCACCTTTTACAATCCCTTATATAATTGTCTCAAACCAAAAATAATCACCAACACTTGAGCTTGCAACTCAGTGATTGCTTGAACTGTTTATGCAAAGATGACCTTGATTTTCCGTTATTAATCATCAAAGTGGAAGGATTTTTCTTAAGATGATTTAAAATAATCAAATTAAATCAAATAATGTAATTTATTAATTTTTATCCTAAACAAGTTACTAACAAGTAGTAGTTTGCAAAACTGATTTAATTATTTATTAAGAATTTTTTTTGTTTTATTATTCAGATTTTACCGTATTATAAAATAAGAATTGTAAGATGAGAGAAGGGTTCTTAATATGACTCATCCCCTATCTAACATTAAGTATTGTGCAGTCCAAAACCGGACTGCAAACACTTTTTTTGATCTATTAAACTTGAAAGTTGACATTGAGCGACTGAGCCGAGTTCGAATTACACCCCACATCGAGCAGTTCAGTTCATTTACAGCGTAAAGATGGGCCGAGCGGAGATATATCTGTCACGTGAGAGGGGCATGACTGCTGGACCCTCCACCCTCCAGGCGGGTTTATCCCTTCTCCCCTCTCATGCGGCGGCATACCATACCGCTCCAAACAATACCCTCCTCTCCAATTAGGACCGTGGCTTAGAAATCCAAATCTCTTCTGGGTATCTTGCTTTCTTCCCTTCCCTGTTCCCCTTTGCTCCTCTAACTCTGCAGCCGAGGTTATCTCCATCATGAATTCTTAATTTCGGTCTTACTTTTCTCTTCAAGACAGAGTCTTTCATGTCCATTACATAACTTGTTTTCAATAATTTAGGATTTTCCAGTTTGTAAGAAGTTGGGGAGTAAGGGAAGCACGGCACGACGTATGCTGAGAGGTGTTTAGTCTCATCCCTTTGGTCTTAATACTATCACATCTACTATGATCTGTTCGTGTGATTCTTGGTTTGATTTTTCTTGCATTCCAATTCTTGAGCAGTTTTATTTGATTTTTAGATTCATGATAATGAGACTGAAAGTAGACTTCAATTTGCAGGTAGAGCATTACCTGTTACAAACTGTGCTTGTGTTAATGAGGTTTGGCTTCATCTTCATCTTTCTTGCATTTTTTGCCCATGTCTTTTTTTAAAAAAAATGATAATAATAATTTCATATGTTTTTAGTATTGAGTTGTTTGGTGTATATGTACTTGGGAAACAGCATGGCTGCAATGGCTGTTGAACCCATTGAAATATTAAGTTTTGAAAGTCAAAAGAGCTTTTATGAAAAAACTTAAAATCAATTTTAATAGATTGCTTTCCAATATATGGAGAATAATTGTTAAATAAAAAAAGAGAGTAAATTTCAATTTTTTTTTTTTTTTTTATGATACTTTGTTCTATAATTTGTTAGAGAAGTCTTGTATCTTGTGAGACAATGTTCTTTAAACACAATTAGTAACCACTGCAATTTTATTTGTTACGATGTCTGGAGAACCTTTGCCTTTTTCTATTATCATTTATTGTCAATTTCTTTGTTTTTGTTTTGTTGCTGGGAAGACGTAAGAAGATCCATTTTTCTTAGGTAGTCTTGACTCTTGATGAAAAGAATGGGCTGGTTCAGTTACCAGTGGATGTTTTGATGTTCTACCACATGAATTTTGAGAAAAAGTTATTTTTTTTGCTTGAAAATAACATGGATACCATTTGAGGATTCCAACCAACAATTTTAAGCAGTAGCACTCCCAGTAACTGAAATATTAAGTTCAAGGACTCCACTGAACATTTTTGTAGGCTTGTGGTACAGGGACATTAATGACCCCAATTTTATGGCACAAGGATGTCCATTGCCTTTAACCCCTTTTTTTGGTTGAAATGATTTTATACCCTTGGCAGGTTAGAAGCCAACAATTTGCATGTTTCTCTAACCACTAGGCTGGAACTGTGTTTATGTTGTTTGGAGTTCTTGTTGTAAATTATCTGGACATGAAGCAATTCTAACGGTCTACACTTCGTTTTGAGTACTTGCCTTGAGGATCAGTTGAACAGAGTATAATTTTGGGCATCATTTGAGTTTTTTATATTGAGTCCATTTTAAGGGTCTAGTACGTCTTCAATCTTTTCTGTAATTTATGCTTGGCCTTACGCATTTACATTTCTGTTTATCAGATTGCTGCTGCCAACCTGTAAAGGTCGGCTTGTATCCAAATTCTTGGCCTCCCTTCAAGCGCATTCTGCCTTGTTTTCGGCCGCTGCGGATGCAATAGAAATTTCTTCAAATGAGTTTGAAAACAGGAACAAAGACATTGATTTTGATCTTCTGTTTAAACACTGCACCCAACTGCACCAAGCTAAGTGCCTTCATGCTCTTCTGGTGGTTTCGGGAAAAGTTCAAAAAATCTTTATCTCCACCAAGCTTGTCAATCATTATGCCTACCTCGGTGATATCTCAGCCTCCCGCCGAACTTTTAATCAGATATCAAACAAGAATGTCTATACCTGGAATTCAATGTTATCTGCTTAAACACAACAGCCATCATTAAACTCCTACTGCTGCCTGAGATGATTTGAGATTATGAC